GAAATAATTTAACTACATTGCTAGTCAAAATACCAATACCACAGGACAATTCTTTTTTTTAAAGCAATATTTTTAGTGGCCCGAGCGGGCAAGTGGAAAGTACGTTATGCTGGCCCGGGGTGTCTAAATAGTGCTTCCGGGCCAGCGGGCCATTTATAATGTCGAGCCCTGTAAATGATTATAGATGAGGAAACCTGCTAAATATTAAAATATGTGTGTTTTTTATATACAGTACCAGTCAAAAGTTTTGACACCTTCTCATTCAATGGTTTTTGTTTATTTTAATTTGTTTCTGTGGGTCTAGCTATGTACTGAGTGTGTGTATTTCGCAGGTTGAGTGATGTACAATGACAATGGCATCCCGTGGAGGAATTCTGAAATGTTTTACCGTTACATCACAAAAACGCACAGCACAGACCCTGGAGCGCCGGCCTCTTTATTTACTTACTCCTCTTCATCCCCTATGGGTAATAAGGCTGAGATGAGATTGAGAACCCTCCATCGTATTTAGTCCTTAGCAATATGCTGCGCCTCTCCCCATGTAGGGATGGGTACCGAGCCCCGGTATTAAACGGGCCCCGGGCCGGAATTATTAAAGACAGTGGTAACGTTAAGCTCCGACGTTATCTGACTTTTTATCGGTACTGGAGACATTTAAAAAATATATGTCATATGTATTATTGCTACATAAACATTATATCGCAGTTTTAGCCAACTCCGTTTCTAATATGCAATAAGACTACAACGTGCGTCTATGATGTATTTTCGAGCTATCCAATCCAGCCGAGATCTCTCTCTGTGTGCGAGGGGGCGGGGCAGTTTGTAAAGGTCTCCTGACTGTGTTACAGTCATCCTGGTTAATGGTTACTCTGGGTTCTGTCTTCAGGACAGTGTTGGATTTTTTTGTTAATTAGATGGGACTTGATTGGATTCAATATTAGAGTAATTTTCTCGTTTGTGTGTTTATTTCAATATATTTGGCCTTTGTTCATGTGATTGACTGATTTACTCAAATAAAAAGGTTGATGAATTATCATCTAATGATTTGTATGATGTTTTATTTATGTTAAAGGTCACTTTGAATGATTTTAACTAATGATAAGTAGTAGAAAAACTAATATTTTAAATTCGGGACGGTCCACATTAATTTCGGGATGGCTTAGATTGTATTTCGGGACGGTTCCAGGAGGATGGTGAAAAAAGTTAGTCGAGAGCCCTGAATTATCCCTTACTTAAAACTATGTGAATACAGCAGAGTAGTTAGTGAATGACAGGGATGGACATACCTCCAACCGTTGGCGCGGCAAGTAATGTGTCGTTGATGCGAAGCAGGAAGAGCAATAGCACCTCCCAGGTTTCCCTCACCATGGAAACAGACTCACGTGCCAACTTCTGGACTGCAGTTAGAACCTGCTGGCAGAGCCTGATGTGGTTCAGACTATGCTGCTCAGGCCTGGAGGGAGAGAGGGAGAGTGGGAGATAAGGGGAGGGAATTAGAGGGACAGGCGAGGACACAAAAAATTATGTAAAATTGCATTTGGTTGGTTCATATAAGGGAGAATGGCCACTGTCTTTTTAGTGCCTTTGTGTGTGTTTACAATAACATTGAAAGCACAGTCTAAGTAATGGTTAGGGTTACTTTTATTCGTTATGCACTTGTTCAGAATACGTATTATTTAACAATTTAATTTAATGAATGGCAATTTAATGATATTCAATATGTTTTTTTTTTAGCATAAAAAGGAAAGGTAATAGATAATGATGGAACGAGACAATTGTGAGTTTATCATTATTTAGCCGGAAAGTTATTATTATATGATTAGTTGGAATAAATTCCGGGCAGAAATAATATAATACAGACTTATTTGTTTCCCAGGCACCAAAGGGAATAATAAAAACAAAATAGAAAAATTCAACATCAGCATCGGCTAAAGTTCTAATTTAAATACTGGTCTAGGCTGAGAAATGTGCAATCCGTGCATCCCTAACTATCAATACATAAGTACTCCCACATATGTTTAAGACAGATATAGTGCAAAAACAAAAGTGTACGTTTAATTTCACTCATCTGTGAACCTACCTTGGCACAAAGACGTTGTAGAGGTGTTTGAGGATGGTCTGGACGTACATGTTGGGCTCCTTGACAACCGGCGTAGGCATGGAGTCCCTGGGCGACACCAGGGCCATCATCCAGTCTGTGTACACATCCACACACAGCTTCACAGTGTCTCCCTCCAGGGGGAGGGTGAGGCCATAACACAACACCTCCATGGTCCATTTCACCTGGGAACAAAACCGTTTTTCATTCAGTTAAGTGAACGTTTCAAGTTATTGGTTGTTTTGTAGCTTTTCCCAGTAGTAAAATGCTTTCAAGGAGTCCTGTATATACACAGAGGCAATAACAGCTCCCGAGACATATTTCAATAGTGTCAAGTGCTGCCATTCCTTTTCAACAAAACAGTTTCTATATGTCAGTCTGCACTGAGAGAGTTACCATGAGGAGTTTAGCACATCTGACTTATTGTCTCATAACAAGAAAGGTCAAAGGTTTTGGGCAAGATGATGACAGCAATAACAATTCACCGCCTCTCCAAACCATATGTGTTTTAGTTTCCTGCCAAATCAGAAACAGACCAGAACAACATTGTTGTAAATCCAACAAAGGTGTTTTCTTACAAGTGATACAGCTCCAAATGTCTAAATGTTAAATGACCTGCAGAAACTGAATCCAAGTTTATTTTTTCCTGCATATTACAGCTACATTAAAACTTGCATTACAGCTCTCCTTTGACAGTTTCTTGCAATACTCTGTATAACTTACTACAGTCTTCAGATAATACTCAGGCAGAGACAGCTTGGATCAGCAGTGGCAGGAAGGCTAATCTAAACATTATCCTGAACATGAAGTGAACTTCAAAAGCAACAGCAACACTTCAGACTTACGATGTGCCTGAGAAATATTGCTGAGATATTTTGAACCCAAACACAACTCCTCTCAAATCCCTTCCTGACACATGCTTGCTGTCATAATAATATCATTATGCTGGCTTGCTGTAAGCTCTGCAGTTCACCTGCTCGCAGAGAGCTTTTTTTGTATATGGAAAATACAAACACAAATGTATCGGACTTTCTATAGTCAAAATTATAATTATAAGTGAAAAAAAATACAGATAGGAAGGAAACCAAACTGTGTTCATTTTCCGGCTGAAGCCTCCTGCAGAGAAAGGAGAAGCTGTAGCACTCCATCAGTCACGCCTTTATAACGCTTAAGTAGTTTCACCAAGTATACTCCTAAGTAAAATATGAAAGCCCAACTGGGATTTGCCTAATGGAATATAAATGGACTTCAAGAGCATTAGAAAAAAGAGGACAGAGATATATCTGGTTTGCTTACTGCACATACTTTATATTTTATTGCATTCTATTTCAATGTAAATTACTGCTTTATATTATTTTACTATATTTTGTCTTTTTTTATTTTTAGTGTTCTTAAAATAGTTCGCTATGTGTTTTTTAAATGTTTGTTTTACTTTCATGTATGGACCACGACACCAAGTCAAATTCCTCGTACGTGTCAACCTACGTGGTAATAAACCCGTTTCTGATTCTGATGAGATAAAAATGTAACTCTTAACCTCAAAGTGAGAAGGCAGTGGCAGCATCATGCCAGGGTTTTGACAGCAGCAATTGGGGAACAGGTGAGAATTAAGGGAATGATGAACAAAGCCAAATTCAGAGAAGTCCTTAAATAAATCCTGCTCCTCGTCCTCAGTGCATGCAACCTCATGACACAATGACAATGATGAATCCAACATAGCCCTGGTCTTTATCCAGAGTCCTAGTTTAATGTATGATTTAGGGAAATGTGTGAAAGCTTTAGTGCATCTAAAAAAGGAAGCAATGGACAAACCTGCCTGATTCTTGGTGTACAAATCTGATAATAATGACCCAAAGGGGAAGTATAGCTTTAATGATGCTTCTACTTCTACACAATGAAGTCTGAAATTGCTTTGTTTTTTTATTCTAAAAAAGGGGTTTTAGTTATTTTTCACCTTTTCAAACTGCTCTCATATACCTTGCTTTCTAAGTATTAGGTATAATATTTAGACTTCAATGAGAAAAGTTGCATTTCATCCATCTAAAACACACAACACAATATAAAATGTATAATATTAAAAAAAAAAGGTGAGCGGAAGCATATCGCACAGCGCAGCTACTGACCACACCTAAATTGGTCAAACTGTATGTAAATGGAGGTGCCCTCTGAATGAGGAACAGTTTTTTCTTAAATCTGATACATTACTGTTAATGTTCATAACCTTTATTTGGTGCAGCATAAGACAACACCAGCAGGTCCTTTAGGTTTATTACTGCTTAAATTGCCGTAATATCAAACAATGTGCAAAATATGCTGCATTTATTCACTTTATACCCATACAACTTAGCAGTATGTCCACAAAATGATTTGCATCCCAGTCAAACAACTCACATTAGTAGCTCAAACTCAACTGAAGAAAGCAGAAGCCTAGAGTTTTGTCTAACTATAACCCTTGTGTTCTTTTTTATTAGCATTACTACATGCACAATAACTTTACATTGAATTTTCATAATAAAATGGTAAGAAATCCGACCAAAAAAAAATGTTTTAACGGAGGACAGGTCCAACGGTGTAGTATCTATAGGCTCCTATAACGTATGTTACGTCTTATGGTGAATCCCCTTTAAATCATATGGAAATTAATTTTGAAGGCTGAAACGGCTGATGGTGGCTGATGGTGATGGAACTATTAGCTTAGAATGCATTGTTTGGTGCTGCATACACACAAGGTGTATCGGTGTTTCTCACCTCCTTGTCCGTCTTCAGGATATTCTCTGTGGCCACAGGGCTTACAGCTGTACCCAGAGGTTTGACCACAGCATTTGCCACCTCCGTGCCCACGGTGGTGGGATAGCTGTGCAGAACACTGAGATGGCCCTGGTCACTCTGCACCACCAGCTGCAGTGAGCGCCACTCAGAATACATGCTGCTGATGTGTACTGCACTCTACACACACCTCCAGCCTCCACCTGCAGACACACACATATAAAGAAGTCAGTTTAACCCTTAAATGGTTTCTGTGTCCTGGAGGATAAATTGCCCAGATATGGTTATAAACCAGGGATAATCACTAACAGATATACTTGTGTTTTGAAGCCTATACTCTACAGATAATCAGATAGAAATAACAGTGCCATTTGGGTATACGATGGTTGTAATATAGGTGTAATATGGATGTAATACAGGGGTCAAATGGCTGTATCATGGATTTTATATGGGTTCAATAACAATTGTAAACCCTAAATGGGCAATTTATCTTGTGAGATAAAACACTTTTTTTTTTAAAAGATCACGACATTGTTTCATTTTAGCCTAGATACATTAGAAAATAGCAATTCATTTTCGAAATATTGCCATGCGCTTGCCCATTTAAGGGTTAATAAGGCAAGTGGGTGAAACTATGAAAAGGCTTCTGGGTTAATATCTAGCATCAATACTTCTCCACAGCTGTCAATAAGTAAACCTGCCAACACTGAAATACACACATTTTACAGTGCGATAGTATTTCGTTCATAAAAGCAGAATAACTTTACCTAGGCTAAATTATGTACCCTTATCTTAAGTAACTAGCTAGTGTATTTATGGTTAAGGGTTAATGCAGGGTTTACGTTTGTAATGACAACATTTTGAATAGAAATAATTAACTATATTATAACCCATGGCATTTGCCCGCTACATTCATATCATAATACGACTGTATAATAAAACCTAGTGAGTTTAAAGTAATTTCATGTGTAACCTTAGAGCAAGATTGACTGTAAACAGGATAACTCAGTCTAGGTTTTGAATATTGTTGCTAACGCTACGTTTTCCCCACCGAAAGATAACAAAACATATCAAAGCTCACATAACATAGCATAAATGTAATACTTATAGTTAGCTCGTTTGCTTGCCCTAAGCTCAAGCGAAGCCATAGAGCATTTGTATCCTCAACCTCGGGTTCGAACAAGCTGTGGATTCACAACCAGGAAACGGTTCTGAAAATGATTAGCCTGCTAACGCTAGCTAGCAATGACATCAAAACATCTTCTTCCTCTTGCTGGTGACATTAGCTAAAATCAGCTGCTAGCTAGTTTTTCTGTGATCCCTCGGAGGATACGACAAGAGGCTGTCGTTAAGAAAAACGTGCAGTTATTTGCGCTAAGTTATCAGGTAGTTATCTCAAACTACGCTGTAGTTGGACCGATGATGCTAGCTTAGCTAATGCTCGCTGCACTAGCCCGTCCGTTGACATTAGCTGAGCTGGCTGTCATTTTGCTAGCTGCATAACTTTGCAAAGACGCTAACGTTTCCTCGCTAGCAAAGCATGCAGATGGGTTTTCATTTACCTGGACGAACGGGAAATGTTCTCATAACAGAGATCTGAAACTCGCAGTTTGTGGTTCCTATATATCCAGGTCTAGACCATAACAGCGTCCATCTTCGCAATGTCAAGGCTTGAATATTGCAGCTCGATGAGCTAACGGGAAACAGGATGTGTGGGTTGTCGCCCCCTAACGTCCTGCACAGCAACCGCATGCGACCTGGTGCTGCCTTCAGGTGCTTTCGTCTGACAACTTGTTGGTGCTTGAAACGAACCGGATTCCGGAGTTTAGAGGCGGCTCCGCTGCGGTGTGAACAGGAAAGACCGGTGCTCTTCAAGCTCCAGCTCCGAACCGGTCCTGGAACCGCGTTGGTATGAAAGTGGTAAGAGTAGCAAAACAGAAGGCCCAGTTTACTTTTACTACTCAAAAGAATAATATACTGAATAATTAAAAGAGTTAATCTATAACATGATTTTGTAATGATGCTCAGGAGATCTGATAGTCCATATAAGTAACAGGCTTTTTTAAAACTAAAATAAGATAATCAAAACTTCATGATGAAGTTTTCTGAATACTTTTGGAAAAATAATTGACCTTAGATCGTCTGATTAACCGTACTAAGAAACGTACAGTGAAACCGTGCCTGGTTTCACTGTTTTGCTGCACAATTTAGAAGACACAAACTAAGATGAAACAACAGTTGCAAAAAGAAAATGTGTTGTATTGCTGTCCCATATGGTATCAGGGTAGGCCTACCCTGTACTGTTTGGAAAAAATAATTGACTGGGAGCCGCGAGGTTTTGGCTCCTAAACTGGTAGAGCCTATTTATTGGTCATCTTATGAATATAGCCAAAATCTAGCTACACTTAATGGGCAACACTTTGTGCCAAGCCATTTAAAGCTGCCAACATATATATTTGATTCATGTTGCCTACAAATTGATTGTTAAAAGGCTTGTCTGGTCACCATTGTCTTTATAAGGCAATAGGAATAATTTTGACGTATTTGGGATAGAATTCTTGGATTTGAAAATCTGTATTTAAAGTATGTCAAAAGACACTGAAAAATGAAGCACCCAACATAACTGTCTCCATTCACATGCAGGGGGTTTGCAAAGTTCAAAATACTATCACTCAGTAGTAAAAAAAAAAAAACAGTGTACTCCTCTTTCCATTTCAGTATGTTCGTTTGAAGACTTGACTTCTGTAATTCAGAATATTTATCATTCCACCACCTCATACAGATTGTTTTCCAGAAATTATTTATAACTTTTACCTAACTAGGTTCAAATAAAAACTGAAGTAGAGACAAAGTGCTGTGTTTACCAGAATTGCTAAGAAATGATAAAGGCAAACACTATTTTAAAAGAAACTACTAATACAAATGATATCTGAAGTGGTTTAGAGAGTGGCTTTATTGGTCTTTTGCCATTGCAAAACAAATGGGGGATTTTTAACAGACCCATTTTAAAAATAATGGAGTTGATTAAAGTGGCAGAGCCCCAAATATCCTACATTTGAGTCCCAATTATACGACAAACTCCCAACAAATCTTTCATTAGACCCATTATGCATGGTAAACAATCATTTGAACCCCTTTTAAAGAAAGAGGCCATTACTTCGAATATTTAGCATGATATACAATACTAAATACAAAAAATACAATTGGTATAAACAAAATTATTAAAGGACTTTATTGCAAGCTTTTGTTACATTTCAAATAGTGGTCAAGAAATATTATAAAAATACATTTGCTTTGAGGATACCAGTGAAATATCAGTTGTAAGCCTGTAAGGATCCTTTCAGTAGGGGGCAGCAGAGACTCGCTTAAGAAAAGGTAACAGTCTTAATATGTAAACAGCATGTCTGTTAATACTTTTTAATTATCATACTTGCATGATCCTTGATTAATAAATATGAATTATGGATCTATGAGAAAACAAGACTGCTCTAAGTCACACACAGTTGTATCATATGCAGCATCTCTGTTTAGTGTCAGGGCATGTGGGCGGTTGGTTTGTAATTTTTCCAAGTTTAATGCAATCCTGTTATTAGGGACCTCATGTCTACATTCCTTTTTTTGCAGTGTGTGAAACATGTGCTAAAAGATAAATCACTTAAGTACAGCTCATAAGTATTCATTATAAATGTAAATCAGATGTTCGCAGGATTTGAAAAATAAAATGGGGCATGGGGCTCACATATGGTGCAAAGCCTTTCTCCAAAAACAAGCCAAATAAAATGTTTAACACTCCCAGCATGCCCTGCTCTGCATCTGCAAAACAGATCAAAGAAACATCTTTATCTCAACGCGTCTCCAAACTGAAACATTATACATTTAATGCAGGTGTAAACCTGATGAGACAAAATAAATGGTAAAGAAAAAGTGTCCTCTGTGTTGCAGATTGTAGCAGTCAACATGTGGCCATATTGTCCCAGACCACGATTAAGTGTCTATGGCCTCCATATGATTGCTTAGTAAGCCAAGCCACATCTCTCCTGGATCTCATCCACAGAGGGGGAGAGGACGGAGAAGAATTATTGGATGAAAGTCAGCATTCTTCTTTCCATCGGCCCTCCATGTTTGTTGTGGTGCACTTGCAGCTCAGAGATGCTAGGATTGGTAACCGTATGCTAATGCATCTGAAAGGCAGAGGGGAGAAACAGCAGTTGAGAATAAATATCTGCTGTCTGAATGCTACTATAAGAAAAACAAATAATTCACCTGTAGCTAAGTCCAATATGTTTCAGTTTAAAGTGTCTATTCACTTCAATTAAACACACATTTCTGACTTACTTCAGTGTTATCAAGACATGAACACATGTTTCTAGTGATCTCTAAATGCAGATGGCTTTATTCCAAGGCAAAAACTGTAGGCAATGAAAATTGGTATTTGAAGTTGTTTCCGGTTGTAGTCCTTTTGTAAATTTAATAAAATTGTTCTGAGATTAGTTTTAGTAAAATATATTTATTGTGTACACCCCAATACAATTGAAGTTAATGTAATTTGTGGGTTTCACAGCAATGAATAATTCAAGTAGAAAAGCAGGTGTAATAACATATTTTGTTAAACAAATCCATTTACCCCCATTGTTTCTGGTAGAGGAAGAAATTGAAAATACAGATACCTCAAACCTGGAAAATAAAACCAAAACTATCTGCATAGATACTGTGCCAATACCAATTCATCTGTGTGTGTGTGTGTGTGTGTGTGTGTGTGTGTGTGTGTGTGTGTGTGTGTGTGTGTGTGTGTGTGTGTGTGTGTGTGTGTGTGTGTGTGTGTGTGTGTGTGTGGGAAGCTTGACTGTCAGCCGGCTAAAAAAGTGGGCGGCATTCATTCGGAAGGTCAGAGGTTTGTTTCCCACTACTGCAGTCAACATGACGGCAATATCCTTGGGCAAGATACTTAACCTCGAAATGTGTTCTGTAGCATAAAAACAGGTCAAATGTTATCTGGCCTTAGCTTTGTAGCATAATCTGAAAGAGATTTCTCAACCCAAATAGCTTCTTTGTGTAAGATGACCACATAACCTGTTAAAAACTCACCTGATTGGAACTGTGCCGTGCAGCACAGTCCCTCCCCTCGTACCGTCCGGTAAATGGGTGACACACACACTCTGGTCGCTGGGGGGAGGTGTGTGAGTCGCGTTGACAGAGAGTCGGGCGGCAAATAGAAGGATGAGCGCTGGCCAGTGATGGAGTTCTGCTGCCCCTCCCAGGTGAGCCAGTACCCCCGCAGACCCCCTGCGCTGCTCTTCCAGTCCACCTGCACAGAGTCACTGCTCACTGTGGTCAGCTGCAGGTCCGCCAGCGCCGGGGTCACTGGGAACAAAGACCTCAAAGTCTTAAAAGTCATTAGTAGGAGTATATTTCAAAAATAATATTATTATTATCATTTTTTCCTTTACTTATTGAACTGGTTTGTACCCGCATTTTCTTTGCTTGAAATACAAAACTTATTTCTTAAAAGGCTGTTTAAGTAAAATAAAACAAAGACACATGCCTTATTATATGCCTTGAATCCAAAAGCAGTATTTGTACATAAATACATTATAATAAGAATAAATACAAAAAATAGTAGTAAAGACAGAAATGCTTTAGAAGAACTCAAACAATAGAAAATGTGATCGGCTTTATGCTCTTGCTGCTCAGTTTTGACCTTGGAGTACAAACCTGAATGGAGCTGCTAGTAATTATGTGAAATGTAAGAACGACTATGCAGCTCAGGATTAGTGAGCTGTAACTGGACCCTCAATCTGCATCGGCTTCCGAAGAGAATACAGGACTTTTACTTAAGGAAAAGTAAAACAAATTTTAAGTATAAAGTACCAATACTACAGAGTAAAGATACAGTTTAACTATTAAATCACTTTAAATAAAAGCCCTACACTCAAAACACTACTACTATAAACAATATTAGCTTCAAAATATACACATTAATGTGTTCATAATGTTGCAGATGTTAAAGGTGAAGCACATTTTAACTTCTTTTTCTTTCTTTTTTTCTGACTACTTTTATATACTACTTTATATAATTACAAAATGTATTTATTCATATTTTGTATTAAGAGTCTGAAGTTGCAAAGTAAGTAGAAACTCATTTTGATAAATACTACATTTAGTAAAAAAGTACACTATGTGCTTCTGAAATGAAAGGGTGCAGAAGTGTAAAGCTGCATAAAAAGTGTATACTTCAGTACAGTACTTAAGTAAATGTACTTAGTGAAATTCAAGTACTGATCGTCTTCATGTAGCTCACCTTCCGGAGTACACACTTTGACAGACATGGCCTTCTCCGTGCCCGAGGTGTGCCGGGCACTGACGGTGACCAGGTAGGTGGTGTCCGGCTGGAGGTCCCTGAGGAGGGTGGAGTTCTGCGTTCGGCCCACAGTGAAAGCGTGGAGCTTTCCCCTCGGCAGGGCGGAGTACTCGATGTAGTAACTTGTGATCTGATCCGGCTGAGAAGGACCCCAACTCACCCGGACGCTGGTTGGCCCTGACTCAGAGAGCGTCACCACAGCGGGGCTCAGCACCTCTGTGGAAAACAGTCAGTATGAGATAACGTGAGGAAAATGATCTGACCAAGATACTGGGAGTAGATAGTAAGAAAAGAGATAAGATAGAGGCAGTATATTGGTACACTTGAAATGAATTAGCATTAGCAATGTACATTTTTACAATGCT